AAGAGTAGGATTTTTTGGCAGTGTCTCAGAGGCAATGTGAGAATCTCAAGTCTAATAAATGAATCATTAAATCATGGGGTATTAAACTAAGGCAGTTCAAAAAATTGTAAACATTTAGCCAAGGAGGGGCACTGCATACATGAGAGGAGTGAGGTTTGAGAATCTGCAAAAAGTAAAAATTCATTTTGAAACCAAAAGTTGAATCATCTCCTGTGGGCGAGGAGAGGTTTGGAAGGTGATTAATGGAAATAAAGTACAAGCGAAACTTAAGGATCATGTCCTGGTTCCCGTGGTTTCCTTTATATTCCATTTACAGTACTGTGAAAAGTCTTGAGTCACCTATCCATTCTTTATGATTTGTTTCCAGGGAGCAGGGCTTTCTTGTCTTTTCTTAAAGTGGTCTTTAGCAGTAGTTCTCCTGGCTTTCTGAAGGTCTTTTGAGTATTGTGTTGACATATAACAAAAAACTTAGCAACTTCTCACTCTTATTGCTTGTTTATGCCCTGCCCTTATCTTCAACGTCATGCTGCTCTGTTGTATCTTAATTGCCCCTTGGGGATAAATAAAGTCTTTCTGATTCTGAAAGAATCAGTTTTAAATTGTATCTTTAGGACTTTGTTATTAGCAGTTCGTTGCAAAGGCATGAATTTTGCTTCCATTTCTTTAGTCAGATTTTAAAAAGTCCCAAAAAATGCATTTTGAAAGGCATACAATTTTATTTTTTCTTCAACAAGATGATTCCCAAAAGTGATCCCTTTTAGCTAAAAAATTTGGATATCTTGTACAGTGTGTCCTTAAAAAAAAATTGAGGAAACTTGAAAAATGAAGACAAAAGAAGTGGGAGGACTAAAAAAACACACATTGGGACACTATGAGCCATAGATCATCCTCCCCAGAACCCAAACCTAAACATTATGGAAACCACGTGGAATCTTCTTGACAAAAACAAAAAAAGCAGCCAACATCCAGAGAAGAGCTTTAAATTTCCTTCAAAAAACCTGGAAAATTACTCGTGATGATTACTTAATGAAATGACAAGAAGGCTGCCTAAAAGAATTCATGCTATATTGAAAAATGAAGGTGGGCATACCAAATATTGACTTTAAAGATTTGATAGAACTGTGGAAACTGTTCTTGCCTCATGTACTATATTTCCATTTATGTTTGCACGTTTCACTGCACCTATCTCCCATTGTAGGAGCAAAATATAAAGAACTGGGAGACAGCCTGAGATTTTAAACAGTACTTTACACAGGTTTAATAAACGATGAATGATAGGCTTCTACTTGTCTTCTGTTCTTATTGTTTTAAGCCTGAAAAAATGCATTATTTATCCATTATGTTTTATTTATCCAAGGAAATATCTTGGCAGTGTTCAAAACAAGGAACCGACACTAGACCACATTCCCATAATGGATTAATAGTACTTAACGTGATGTTTCACACAGAAATGTTTAGACATGTTGTTACTGACACAGTTAAAATGAATACAGCGAGTGAACAGTTTACAAAATCACACCCTTTATTTATACAGCAGACTGGAAAACTATGTTGGACAACACACACAAAGACACAAAAAAGAAGCAAACACCAAATTGAGAGTTCTAATACTAACGCTGAGATGCTAGTTTGCTTTAAGGGGCCATCTTTGAGATTAAAGCGCCAGGAAAAAACATGCTTGGCAGTTTGTAATTATCAATTTATCTGTTCTTCATTGCATATTACAACATGTCTGCTGTCCTGCAGGTCCAGATAGTACAGACCGACATGGTTGCCTGTCTTCTCACGTCCTCAAAGTGTTCACATTCACCGTGCCTCGTCCACTTAAAAGCTGTGTTCTGGGATTAAGAGAGATCTTTGCTTACTGCCACAGGAG